TACTAACATTACACAAGAATTTGAAGAAAGAATTTTTACCAGGCTTCCATCCACTACTTTTTACATTCAATCAACGCCTTTCTGCATTTTTTGGGAACCTGTGCAAGTGAATCCCTTGCCCATCTCCTGTGTGGCATTTCACGGTCACACAACAGACCATTTATGTCATTTAAAAACACGTCAAATTATAGGCTACTATATGCAGAGGATTCTTTTCAATTGGGTAGCTTAATGGCGTCCACATGACACGTGACTACCATTAGCCAATCAGAATCAGGACACAGGTTGGCCAGACTCTCTATATATAAGGCTCTGGCCTTCTGTATTTCTGAACATGTCGGGTTCTCTGTCTCTCCCCCCCTCCAACAGACATCGATCCCGTTTGCCTATGGACATATGCCTGTATTGGCCCCAGATATTATCCTTTATATTTAGACACCTTTCCATTAAGATTTTCAAGCGTATATGATAACCCTGATCTCTATTACCTAATATATAGAAACGAGTTTGGTCTTGAAGTATAATTTCCGGTTCTATTTATTAAAAGTTGAAAATGACTCTTTAGATATCTTGATTATTGATGGATATCACTAGATGACGTTACACGGTGACGTAGTTTGATACATCAGCTATCAATAGAAATGAAATGAAATGGTGTTTAACGTCCTACTGTTCTGCTCCGAACTGTGCAAATGAAAACGGGCATATGAGGGAAAATTTGTCTAGACAGTGGCACTACGGCCTACTCTTATATTGAATTCCAACTGTCAAGGGATCTTTTATTTGCACGCCAATGTGAACGGGGCCTCGTTTTTTCTTGTCAGCTGACAAGGGGGAATCACGGCGGAAAATCTGGATGAACTTTCTCGGCCAATGCAAGGATCAAACTCCCGACCTCCAGGCTAGCGAGCCAGCGTCTTACCCACTTAGCCACTGTGACCCCCAAGCTATCAATAAAGGTCTATTACGGGTCATTCCATGTCAAGTGGGCTAGGGGTGGGAAATCGACTCCCTCGAAAAGATCTGGAAAAAATATATGTTATTGTACATGTAAAAATTAGAAACTGCCCAAAATTTGTGGTTTGTAGCTTGAAAATTGACTGAGATGTGGGCATTTGAGTTTCATGAGTTACCGATGAGTTTTCTAAACAAAATATGTATCAATAATTTATAGAGGTTCAGTTTCTTATTTTTACCTTTCTAATGAACATATACAGCTCACATTTGGTTGTCTTAAAGAACTTTTTGTGTAGATTACGAATCTACAATCAGATTACAGGTTAGTGGTAAAGTTTGCATGCAACTTGGTCATAAAAAACGAAAAAAAAGGGGTGTAATTGTATATTTTCTGGATTTTGTAGTGCTCCAGGGCTACAAAGTAACAGATATAGACCCAAATTGGCGCCCATCCAGAGATTGCCAGTAGTACTACATAAGAAACATATGAAAACGGACCTGTCTTCACTAGATTCCCAGACAATTGGCCTCGAATATGGTTTTAGACACAAATTTAAGAAAATTGCCGCATATTTTCGAGCCAGTAGAACCCAGTAGATGAGCACCTAAAAATCTGAAACTTTGTTTGTACTAATGTCTCTTAACATATGTTAAAACCATTCTTGTCCCATGCCATCTCAATATTTTTTTTCGAGGCCAATTTTGGGGGAATCTAGTGAAGACTGTTTCTTATGTAGTACTACTGACAATCTCTGGATAGGCCAAAATATTGGTCTATATCTATTACCTTGTAGCTCCTGGAGCACTACAAAATCAAAAAATATATTACAATTACACCAAATTGTTTTCGGTTTTCATGGCCGAGTAGCATGCGAACCCTAACACTCACCTGTCATCTGATTGTAGATTCGTAATCTACACATGTTCTCTAACGCTACCAAAATTTTTGCACTGTATAAATTTACTAGAAAGGTAAAAACAAGATATCTGAAACTCAATTAAATTGTTGATACATATTTTGTTTTGAAAACTCATCGGTAACTCATGAAACTCAAATGCCCCTATCTCAGTCAATTTTTAAGCTACATACCTCAAATTTTGAACAGTTTTTTAGTTTTTGCATGTACAATAACATATATTTTTTTCCAGATTTTTTTCGAGGCGGTCGATTTCCCAAATTTCTGAAAATTGACCCACTTGACATGGAATGACCCTTACACGAGTATCGATATGATATCACAGTTCTATTCCTAAGTATTTGTACTAAATTGTAAGAGACCTATAGATCAATAATGTTGAAAATGAATCCATTTTTAACTGTGAACACATGGATATTATATGTTGCTCTCGCTGACGTTCTTGCTGACTCAATATATGTGCGATAGACGATGTGTATCTTCGTTTATTTACCCAGTCCTTTATCCACATTATTCAAAAGTGTAGTATTTATACCCTATGATTTTCTCCTTTGATTACCTCACTCTTATTTTGATTACCTAAACCATGATTCACGAATGTAACAGTTTAAGCCCATGGTTTCTTGTGAGACTACCTTATATCCAATGTATGTAGACATCTCTGCTCATTTGTAAATTGTGTATGCTTCATAAAGACTATTAAAATCTTGAAAAGTGAAATGACTGAATCGTGGTTCTAATTCTAATGATATCCATTCTTAGCATGCCCATGGTCCATTATGAGGGACTTAACAAAGATTAGTCTAAAAAGATTGGGATTGCAATAAAATGGGTCAAATAGAAGCGTTAAATTGTGTTAAACAGATTTTTATACGCCCACATTTTCAGAACAGTCTACAGGTCACAATTTTTATCCGATTTCAATGAAACTTGAAATATAGGTTTATCACCCTAAGATCTCGGTTCCTTTCGATATTGGCGTGTATCGGACTGTAACTTCATGGATTATGGCCTCTGATTGTACGAAAAATCATGTTTTTAGCTTGTGAACACTGTAGAGGTCACAATTTCTATCCGATTTGGTTTAAACTTGAAATGTATGCTTATAACCCAAAGATCTTGGTTCCTTTCGATATTTGCGCATATCGGACCGTAACTTTCTGAATTATGGCCCCTGATTGTACGAAAAATTGCGATTTTGGCTTGTGGACCCTATAGAGCTCATAATGTTTATCCGATTTAAAAAAAACGTATTATTATATCACTGTTACACACTAAGGGCAACTGAGTTCGAATTTCGTGAAAATCGGACCAAAACTGACAGACAAAACGGCCGCCCTCAGTTCTCAAATAGCGTAAAAATATGGTATATCAAGGTTGTGGACCCTAGAGAGGTCACAATTTTTATCTGATTTTGTTGAAACTTGAAATGTAAGTTTATATTCCAAAGATCTCAGTTCCTTTCGATATTCGTTCATATCGGACCGTAACTTCCTAAATTATGGCCCCTGATTGTACGACAAATCAAGTTTTTAGCTTGTGAACCCTATTGAGGTCATAATTTTTATCCGATTTAAAAAAACGTATTAATATATCACCATTACACCCTAAGGATGGCTGAGTTCGAATTTTATTAAAATCGGTCCAAAACTGACAGACAAAATGGTCGCCCCTCGTTCTCAAATAGCGTAAAAATATGGTATATCAAGGTTGTGGACCCTTTAGAGGTCACAATTTTTATCCGATTTTGTTGAAACTTGAAATGTAAGTTTATAACCCAAAGATCTCGGTTCCTTTCAATATTTGCGCATATCAAATTGTAATTTCCAGAATTATGGCCCTTGATTGTAGGAAAAATCACTTTCTTTAGCTTGTTCTCTATCCATCTCTCGAAAATGTGGGCGTATCCTGCCTGGCAGCCGCTGGTTATAATTGTTATCCTACTTGTCTGCCGATCTTTCCATCAGAAAACCTTCTGAATTTGATAGGATCTATAGTTTTTAACTCATATTTTTCAATTTTTTTTTTTGGTGGATGTGTGTTTGGAGGGGGGGAGGATTGTGTCATAAAAGAGGACAAACCCTATCTACTTGGCCTTCCAAGATCTTTTGTTCCAGAGGTACAAAATCTTGTATTGGATTCGCTTATAGTGTGAAAAGATATATAATCTAGGTATTTGTTAATGGGCAATATTGGTGTCAGTCAATATTACATATGTGATAGAACTGGTTAAATACTTTCCAAATATAATTTTAACACAGAGATCATTGCTACGGGAGACGTGTATGAAGCACGTGAAGAAACGGGAAGTGACGCCAAACATGACAAACACAAGTTGTCCTTCTATATAACTGACTGAAGTAACGAGCGTAACAGACAAACGATCGAATTTTATTTCACTGATAATTCCGTTGAAGTTGAAAAGTTATTATATTGGACAGGGAGAGGGTATCTCGCAATTCAAAAATAGAATTGGCTGTCACTATAAATAAGGGACACGAGAAAAATAGAAAAATCCCATGCATTCCCCCGTTTTTATTCATTCTGTTCTTAATAAAAGCATGGTAATGCACAGACTTTTTCTAATTTGTTCGTTATCTTTTATCTACTGACAGCCAATTCTTTTTTTGAATTGTCAGATATCCTCTCTTCGTCTCATATAACAACTTTTCATCTTCAACTGAAGTATCAGTGAAATGAAATTTGATCGTTTGTCTGTTATCGCTTGTTACTCCAATCATTTATATAGAAGGACAACTCGTGTTTGTCATGTTTGACGTCACTTCCCGTTTCTTCACGTGTTTGTTACATATCTCACGTAGCAATGATCTCTGCGTTAAAATTATATTTGGGATGCATTTAACGAGCTGTATCACATATTTTATAATGACTGACACCAATATTGTCCTTTAACTAACTGGGGTATTTGTTAAATAACTGAATAATTTCTGATTGCTGAAGCATTCTTTCCTTTTCGATTTGACTGAATGAATAGTTCAATCGTGTATATTCAATACATTGCTTAATGATTACATGTAATCCTTTTAAAATTTAAATATGATATTATTCAAAACTAATTAATAAGTGAAAGAGACGTTGGAAATATTTATTTTTCTGTTTTATTAGTTTGTAATGGAAATGAAAGCGTTCATTGTTGTAACCCAGACTTGTGTAAGATGACTCACTGTCCAGCTAACCTCCATGCTGTTTGTCGCATCAATCCCTGTGGAACTTGTTCAGTAGAATTTTATGATTCTAATCAGAAGGTTGACTGCACTGCAGGTAAGCTATACAGGTCTATTGTTTATTTTTATATTCTATTAATTTCAATATCTCACAGCAAATACCAGTGATTTCAATACGATTTGGTTGTGTTCTTGCATTTACTCTTTTACACTGGTTTGTCACTCTTTATACGCCCACATTTTCATGTCGACGTATATATTGTTGTCGCCTCTGTCCGTCCGTCCGTCCATCCATCCATGAGTCCGTTCACATTTTGTTTGTGGATACTCTAGTCACAATTTTCATCCGATTTTGACGAAACTTGAAATATAGGTTTATATCCTTTCGATATTAATGCATATCGAACTGTAACTTCCTCGATTATGGCCCCTGATTATATGAGAGATAATGCTTTTAGTTTTTGGACCATCTAGAGGCGACAAAATGGCCGCTCCACATACATAAATAGTGTAAAAGTATGTAATTCTAAGGTTGTGGGCCCTCTAGAGGTCACAATTCTTATCCCCTGGGGTGTAGGGGGTGATAAGAATATACCCTTCGTAAGTCCTGCATGTCGTAAAAGGCAACTAAAAGGATCCCATGTCGGTGGAGAGTGGAATCCTTGTAATTGAGTGGCAATTTGGCTTGCGAGCCCTTTCTCTGCAACACATTGCTTTGGCCCACAATTCACTTAGACGGGTGGTCAGAGTGGCCCACTCTGATCAATTGGCCTTGGTTGTGTTTAGCTGACGAGTAGGCACTTCTTTTCCATAAATCTGTAAATCGAATTGTAACTTCCTGAATTATGGCCCCTGATTGTACAAAAAAATCTCGTTTTTAGCTTGTGGTCCCTCTAGAGGTCACAATTATTATCCGATTTAAAAAAACGTTCGAATATATCACCATTTTCATGAAAATCGGAACAAAACTGCCGGACAAAATGGCCGCCCCTCGTATACAAATAGTGTAAACATCTGGTATATCAAAGTTGTGGACCCTCTGGAGGCCACAATTTTGATTTGATTTTGATGAAACTTGAAATGCAAGTTTATAACCCAAAGATCTCTGTTCCTGTCAATATTCGCGCATATCAGATCGTAAATTCCTGAATTATGGCTAATAAAGGCATTGATGCTATCGGGTTAAGTTAAATATTACACCATAAGCAAGTCACAGCACATGACATCCCTCCTTACTTCAAAACTGTTACTGTTCCTAGGATTTCCTATACTTACACTAAACCCATTGCATCCAAAATATTTAATTACAGAAACACATTATCTAACATCAATGCAAAAGACTTATGAGATAATCCTCTACCCTGTTCTTGCTCTACGTCGTCCTTCCTTTACCAACCAGCTGGACATGTGGTCACTGGTGATTTGAACATACATGTAGTCCAGAATAATAAGCTACGTGACATTTTGTCTAAAGGACCCAAATACCGGGAACCACAACCATTTTCATGGGATCAAAATTTCAAACTTATTTTTGATGCCGTAGAGGACTACGCAAGATCATGGGCCAAGAGGGAAGATGTTATCTCGGATACTCTCTCAGATTGGACTATGTCTATCAGCCGTTTACTAAAACGAAGAACTTACATGCAACGTTTGATAGTTGACACTTGGCCTAAATTGATTTTCAATGATGTTGGCACTGTTGAAAATCTCAACGCCTTACATGACAAGTATGTCATTGTTCCGGCTGACAAAGCGTCCAATAACATAGTGTTTATATGTAAACGATATTATTATGACTGTCTGTTCAAAGAACTAAGTTTCAGGAAATCAATTGACAGTGCTATGTATAAACGCTCTACTCTTGGTAAGGATGAAATTATATCCAATCACAGATCTGTACTCACTTCATTTGGTACTCCGTGTGGAGATACCTATACAGATCTGCCCTTGTTGTATTGGATACTTAAACTACATAAAAATCCCTACAAACAACGTTTTATAGCAGGTTCATCCCGTTGTTCCACCAAAAAAATTCCAAAGAATTACTTGATGGTTTGCAATGTAGATCACTTGCTTCAGTCTCATCTATACAAACGTTTGACTTTTCTACTCTGTACACTAAAATTCCCCAAAGTAAATTAAAAGCTCGGTTAAAAGACATTATTCACAGTCTCTTTTCATCTAAATCAGGAACTGTTAGATAGCAATATTTAGTTGTTAATTACAATTCCACATATTTTGTTAAGAACCATAGTGATTCCAAAAATAAATTCATCTCCAACAAGATAATTCAGATGTTGGATTTTTTAATTGATAATATCTTTGTTGAATTTGGAGGGGGGTATCCCCATGGGCAGTCCCATTCCCATTGTAGATGAAACAAAGTTCTTGGGTTTGATATTTGATAAGAAATTGTCATTTATCCCCCATATTAAAACACCCAAGAAGAAATGTCTGCAAACCCTCAACTTATTGAGAGTCTTATCAAACACTGATTGGGGAACAGACCGCAAGGTCTTGCTCAGGTTATATCGAGCATTAATTTGATCAAAACTCGATTATGGGTGTATTGTGTATGGGTTGACCCGCAAGTCTTATCTCAAAGAGCTCGACACAATACACAACCAAGGACTTAGAATCAGTTTAGGAGCATTCCGTACATCTCCAGTGCACAGTTTATACATTGACGCTCACGAGCCCTCATTGCACGACAGATGTGATAAACTGGCACTGCAGTATGCTACAAAAATTGCATCTCTGCCTTATTTTACAGTGCACTTTGTCACATCCGACCTCTGATCACTCCGGCACTCTGTTACATCCGACACCATTTTCATGTCCCGATTTATTTCCTTATTACTTCAGCCAAAAAATCTCTGGGTAATTCGACCTCTGTACGTTCCGGATTACGACATCAATCAGCTGTCCGTCATGCGATTTCCATTGAATCGACACCATAGTTTCCGGCCTTCAATCGGTGGGGGTGAAGCAAACACTTACCGATCAATTATCCGTGAGATTAAAACTGGATGGGTGTGAAGCCACAAAAGATTAACAAGCAATCACCAATCAATTATCTGTGAGATTAAAACTCGCTACCGCAGGTCTTTGTTGATTACTTTGATAATTTTACTCTCTTGTATGACAGTTGTGACAGATACTCAAGAATATCCACAAATTTTCCCCCGAATTCACAGTCGTAAAAATATTCCTAGCACCTGTTGGAAACATTCGTTGCGCATGCAGATTGAACCTGAATAACCTATAAGTTTGGTCACCCTACGGATCTCTTCGAACCGTGTGACGACGACCTGGGGATGCTCGATTCACAATCACAGTCCAGAACGTTCCGAATTGACAGAATTGCAATCAAGTGACGCGGAATTCAATCCTGTCATAGTTCTGTCAGTCCCGACGACGGAGGTGGTGTGAGTAGAATTGTGACGTAATTAAACACGACGAACAGGTTTCGTCTGCATGGTTGGATGAGATATTTATATATCCAGTCGACGCATGCGTTGTAGCCCGAAGTACCCATTTTCACTCAATTGTCGCTATTTTTGGGATTGAGAGAATTCAATTCCGGAACGTTCAATCGAGTACACCCATTATCAATGAACACATGATAGCAAAGACAAGAGTGCAATCAACTGAAGACGGCGAAGAAGATAAATTAACGACAGTCTTGACCTATTCAAAATGCCTACGCATGTTAAATGAAATAAAAATTAATGTAATAAAATTTTGAATGTACAGAAAGGTTTATCATTTTTAAAGGGAATAACATTCTGGTGATTCGAAGTTCTATGTTCGAAGCTACATTATAATAATACTTCCGGTTTTTGAAGTTACAATATTTCCGGTTTTGAGAAAACTGGGTATTATGACACTATGCGTAATCCGACATATTGTAACGATCCCGTACGATGTCGGATGTCACAGAGTGCACTGTATATCATTTAATACCATATTTAGACCATATCATGAACATCTGTATTTACTGAAAACTAACGTTATTCCATCATTCGGTATTCGCATCCAACCCCTTTTGTCAGAGGCTGGCATCAGTCATGACAGTATTGCGAATACCCTGTTGTTTAGCACTCCAACCTTGACTATATCGCCTCCAAAGATCGATCTAGATCTAACGAAAAACTAAAAGAAAGATACTAGTTCCACGGATTTTCAGTCTCTCTTTCGAGAGTTAAGGTCTAAATATGGTGATTATGCTCCCATTAACACAGATGGTTCCAAAGATGTTAATCGGGTAGCTCCAGCTACCGTCACGCCATCTGGAATCATTTCTGTCAGATTTCTACCTGCTGCTTCCATATTTACTGCTGAGGCCCAGGCCATATTTCAGGCACCGGAGTTCAGTCAATCATCATCTAATTTAAAACAAGCCATATTTACTGATTCTCTGTCATCTTTGCAAGCAATAAACAATAAACAGCTTGTACACCCATTAGTAGCAAACGTTTATCGTCTGCTACTATTACACGAGTTTATCGGCAAGGACACAGTCCTTTGCTGACTTCCCAGTCATGTTGATATTAAACGGAACGATCAAGCAGACTTAGCTGCCAAGTCTGCTTTAGATCTTCCCATATCACCACTTCTTTTACCCTTCACAGATTTTAAAGCTTGTTTGAACCAATTTATATATGACCGCTGGCAAAAGGTCTTGGGATCATTTTTATGTATCTATTTTAATATTTATATGCTAAAAAGTTCATGACTTTTGTTTTTAAACTTAAGAACTGTGGTATTTGTTTTTATATTTAAGTATATAAATGGTATTGTGATATCTTATAGCCTGTCTCGTATATTTCACCATATGTTTGGCCCAATGTAGCCCGGTTGGAGCTGACATGCCATAAAACAACATTTCATTCATTCATTCACAATTCTTATCCGATGCAGGTGACACTTAAAATATATGTTTATACCCCAAAGACCTTGGTTCCTATCGATATTTGCGCATATTGTACTGTAACTTCCTGGATTATGGTCCCTGATTGTACGGAAAATCACGTTTTAGATTGTAGACCCTATATATAATGATGGTTAAGTTTGCATTTCCTGTAACTCAGA